TGATCAGAGAATTACAGAGGACTAGTTCCAGTGCCAAAGCACTTTGTCCATACATATATACATAACTTTTCACTAGAATACTATATCCACATGAGCTTTGTAGGCAAGTTTCTTAGAGCATGATTTCAAATTCTGTTTTATATTTTAAAAAATGAACCAATCTCTCCTTCTTAGTTCACACAGCAAAATTGGAAATTGTAGGATTAATACAGGCGGTACAATCAAACAAGGAAAGCATTGCATAAAACCCCATAGAAAATGACAAGTATCTCTTTTCAAGCATGTCTTCCTCTTCCTCTGAAGGACAGATATGGCTCCAGCTCTTTCCCACTCCTGTAAGTGAAGGAATCCATACCCACCTACTACCACCTGTAATCTCATGGCTTTCTTCCCTAAGTGCCAGCGCAGATGCTTGCCTCAATTCACAACAAAAACAAAAGTGAAGGAATGGATAATGGCTGTGGGGGGCAGTGACCACTTTGAAAGTTGGATAAGTGCTCCTGGGAATTCAAATACAATAAAATGTGGGATGCAGTAGCTCAAGTGGTTAAGACGCTGACTCTGTTGATTGCAAGATCGGCAGGTTGGCAGTTCGAGGCCCGGGTGCCGCATGATGGGGTGAGCTCCCATCACTAGTCCCAGCTTCTGCCAACCTAGCAGCTCAAAAACATGAAAATGCAAGTAGATAAATAGGTACCACTTTGGTGGTTCTGTGCAATCATGCTGACCACATGATCACAAAATAGTCTCTGACAACACTGGCTCTTCGGCTTAGTAACGGAGATGAGCACCACCTCCTATGGTTGGACACAACTTGACAACCAAGTCAAGTACTCCCTTTGTCAAGTATTCCCCTTGTCAATGGGGATTACCTTTACCTTTACCTTACAATAAAATGTACACAAAACCCCTCTGTGTTTGAATTAAAGCATGGGTAGTTTACTGTGAGTTCATCCAGAATAGTCATTCTTAGTGATTTGTACTGTACAAATCTCTGACATTATTGTTGTATCCCCTTCCAAATCCTGTCTCCTGGCTTAAACCCCCCTCAAAAGGGTGCTTATTTCAGTTCATTTGTCTACTGGTCATGTATGTTGAGGGTATTAGCTGTGTATGTGCCTTCAGGTCACCAGTTGATTTACAGTGACCCAATGGAATTCAGAGAGTTTTCTTAGGCAAATAATACTGAAGAGGAGATTTGCCATTGCTTTTCTCTGAAATACACTTTACAACACCTGGTATTCTTTGGGGATCTCCCTTCTGACCCTACTTGGCTTCTAAGAGCAGATGGGATCTGATACTTTCAGGGTATTTAGGCTCAATAATGTTAGCTATGGGTGTATCTAATCTCCTTGACCCTTCTCACTTTTTCTTCTGTTTCTAGAAGTATTTTTTATTCAAATCCAAACCCTCCAGATTTCATTTTTAAAAACTCTCCAAAGTGTTAGCATTAAGATGTGAGTGTATGGAGCCTTTGCTTTGCTACAGAGGAAGAGAACAGGTAAGTCAACCTCTTCTGAATGACATGCTTGTTTTATTTTAATTTATAGCTTGGCTACACTCAAGGCTTAGGGCAAACAACATTTGTGTAAGAAAATTAAATGATTAATTGTTCACAACACAGTTGATAAATTCCCAACTTCTTTAACACCTGAGTTCAAAATAGCAGCTCAAATGACAAGCCTTTTGATAAAGATTCCAGAGTGAAGGAGTGGAAGAGCAGAGTTAATCCATGAGTACCTCTGTCTAAACTTCCTAGCAGCTCTGATGCAGCATACATATCTTAAAGGTCAAATTGTACACTGTGATGGAAAACAGTGGAGGAGGAAATTAAAAATGTATTGGGTCCAAGCTGGTTAAAATATGATATACTGAAAAATAAAAACTCAGACTTTGTTAGACCTGCAAGAAAAAAGGAAATGGGAATGGATGCTGGTATAACAAACATGCTCCTAATGACATCACCCTCTCCCACCAAAAGACTCAAGAAAAGAAAACATAAAATGGACCATAGTTGCTAAACAAGCATGCAAAGTTCTGTTTCCTCCATTTTCCCCAGAACTATGGGGAAAGAATATGAGGTTTGATAATAACAGTACCTCTCATCTGCTCAACTACAGTAGAGCCCTGCATATACAACATTGCCTTATGGAGATACTCATTGCTGGGCTGGGCAGAAAGGTGTTGCTGTTGCGTAGCTTCAAACCATTTCTGATCTATGGTGACACTATCACAGGGTTTTCTGAGGCTGACTGTTTGTGACTTGCCCAAGGTCAAGGTCACCTAGTGGGTTTCCATGGATGAACAGGTATTTGAACCCTGGCCCTCAGAGTCATAGTCCAACACTCAAACCACTACACCATGCTGGCTCTTAGAGGTAGATGTTGCCACAAAGTAGGGCTGGAAATTTCTCAGGATTGCGGGGGGGGGGGGGGGGGGGGGGGGGGGGGGGGGGAAGAAACTCAATAGCAGCTACTGAATTTCAGCAGCTACTGCAGTGGTGTCACCTCAGGAACTCCACTGCAGCAGCCGCTGAAATTCAGTAACTGCTGTTGAGTTTCTTGTCACCAACAGCAAATGCTGTTGAAATTCTGTAGCAGCAGCCATGGTGCCTCTTTATGATGGAAGAGGGTGCCAGAGTGCCTTCCTGGACCATGGAACCTGGTTAGTCAGAAAGATGGATTATCTCCTTCTGCCCCCCAAGGGAAGAGACAGCAAAACCATTGGCTTTTCCATGACTGTCTGGTTGGTTTTTGGTGGCTTTGCAGGGGGTTGGGGGGGTTGACAGCGAAATTGATTTCAGCACCAGGAGCTAATGGAGACACAAGGGACCACACAAAAAAGCCTCAGTAGGGGAGAAGACTGCATGCAGCCAAGAGGCATATGCTGTCTATCCCTGGCACAGAGGCTCTGCTCCACACACCACCAACAAAAAAAAGCACCAGTTTAAATGTTCTGTTGCTGTGTGTGTATGTGCTTTCAAGACACCTGTTGACTTACATAATCCCCATTAATTTCAATGGGGTTTCTTAGGCAAAGAATATTCAGAGGTGGTTTTGCCAATCCCCCCATCTAAAATTTAGCCTCTACAGCACCTATTTGTTGGTGGTCTCCTATCCAAGTACTAACCAGCCAGGACTGACCCTACTTAGCTTCCAAGATCAGGTGAGATCTGGTGCCTTTAGGGTATTTAGACCAAAAATCACTCTAAGCATTACTAATGCTTTCTTAGACAGATACCGCTCCAGCTGTTGTTGTTCTTATGCACGTCATTTCTAATTTATGGCAACCCTAAGGCGAATCTATCATGGGGCTTTATTGGCAAGATTTATTCAGAAGGACTCTGCCTTTGCCCTCCGCTGAGGCTGAGAGAGTGTGACTTGGCCAAGATCATCCAGTGGGTTTCCATGGCTGAGTGGAAATTTGAAACCTCATCTCCAAAGCTGTAGTCCAACCCTCAAACCACTACACCACTCTGGCTCTTACCACAACTCAGTGGCATCCCTAGGGGTGGTGTCCCTCTCCCCACTGACCTCCTCCCATACCACACCCATACAAAATCCTTAGTAATGTTTTTTGTACTAATTTACTCCTAAATTGTAATTCCCATATAACACTGAATGTAATGGTAATAGCTGTGACATAAACAACTAGACAAATTAAAATTATACCTTTAAATTACAATATCCTATGCCCATGCTAAATATATTTACAGGTACATAGTTTCATGTGGTTAAAGTTAAAATTTGGAAAGATGTGCTTTTTTAATAAAATCTAAAAAAAAGGATTTTTTAAAATTAAAAATTACATTTTGAAAATTTAAATTTTAGTTAAAAAAATGGGGGGCCCTTCCTTTCTCCTCCCACTCACACCATCTCTTTGGCATTTTAAAGAGATACAAGTGAATGCCACAGCCCATGTGTGCCAAATTGCAGATGTTTCAGGAGCAGTGGTGTCAGCCCACCTAAGGGAGCTCTGCACTCCCACATGTCGCTTATGATGCCACTGCCACAATTGAGCACAAATAGTAGTCTTTCTGGCTGGGGAGGTTCATTCCCATGTTCACTGGAAGACATTTGCAGTCATCACAAACCATTTCCAAATTAAAAAAAGTGAATAGAAGACAATGATCCATCACAATGCTAATATAAACATGTGTCATTTACATGATCTATAGAGCTACCATTGAGGGACGTGGCCCACACTGAGTGACATCCTAGAAGAGGAGTGACACCTTGTCAGCCCTCCTGCCCCTGCACCCCTTCCAGCTTCACTGTGGTGGTGAAAGAGAGGACCAAGCATGCCTCTCCCAGCTTTGCTCGCCAGGAGACCTCTGCTGCCATGACAAAGAAGAGGGCCGAGCACACCCTTTTCGCTGATAGCAGCCCTCCCCCTGCACAGGATGACACCAAGGGTGGGGATGCCACTATTACAGTTCCCAATCTTGCATTTGTTACCTTGACCTGGCTGTACGTGTTTACAAGTGGTCCCAGCAACCAGCCAGTTTTCCACATTAAAAGGAATTAGTGTTGCCAAAATAAAAATAGAAGGACCGCCAGACCCTCCAATGGTTGCATAGAGGTGGTAATTTCAGGTGTTTCTTGTTACCTGGTTGTGTGTCAAGCAACACTTGCTGAAATTTTATCCTTGATATAACCATTAAAATAACACCCAAATTCAAATTCTTAAAAATCTCTGCACATTTTGAGGCTTAGTGTAGTATGTGGAGGCTTCTGGAAGCCCAAAATTGGCCCCAGGGTTTTACAGTTACAAGCCCTGTGTATCTCTATACATATTTTTCTCTCTCTCTCTCAGTTGGAGACTAAATGAAACTAATAGGCCACCATCTAATTAAAACAATGTCAAAAACTATAAAACTAACACAATTAATTAAAAAGCAACAGCAAAACTATCTCAGTTCATTTCCTACTACTTGGCATAATGTGTGTGTCTGACAGGGCAATCTTATGCCTCACTGTTCAGATGCACGTCCTACTGAGCTCAGCATGACCTACTCCACAGCTAAGGAGTATTTGTTGTTAACTGCCTTTGCATGACCCAGGGCGGCCCCGCTGATAAGACATCTCCAGGCCCCCCTGTCCTCTACTGCTCTGCCCAGCTCCTGCAAACTCATATTTGTGGTCTCTTTAATAGAGTCCATCCAAAGGGGTATGTCTTTGTTGATTTAACCCTCCTCCTCAAAGAGGCCAGTGAACATGCTTAATGGGTTTCTTCAAATAGTGTATGCCATAAAACTCAGAACTGCTGCAGAAAGGCCTGTCCTGGCAGAAGATCACATTGAGGGTACAATTTCCCTGGAGCAGGGCCTGGCTGCTGGGACATCTAAGGACCTTAGAAGAATCACATGGGAGAAGATTTTCTATAGATATTTGGGGCTCAAAGCAAGAAAAGCTTTAAAAGAAAAAGCCATCAGTTTGAACAGAGCCTAGAAACAAACTGGTAATCAGCATTCTGTACCAAAGAGTTTCTAAACCACATTCAAGGGCAGCCCTACTTATATATGGTGTTTTGCAGTAATTAAATCTGGAAGGTACTGGGGTGAAAGTTATACTGTCAGCCTCCTGTATCCATGAATTCCGCATCCATGGATTCAACCATCCGTTACTTGAAAATATTTTTTTAAAATTCCAGAAAGCAAATCTTGATTGGCCATTTTGAATAAGGGGCACAATTTTACCACTCCATTGTATACAGCTATAATATATAATGGGACTTTAGCATCCATGCATTTTGGTGTTCATAGGATGGGTGAGTCCTAGAACCAAATCCCAGTATGTAGCAAGGGCTCATTGTACTAGCGTCCCTCTCTTTCAGTAATATGTACAGTTAAGGAAACAACTGTAGTTGGTAAAAGGCATTCTGGCACACATACTGAGAATCCAGGAGCAGCATCAGGGCCAAACACACCACCCTCCCCCTGCAGCTGTTAAACAGTTCCCTACAGCCACACACCACCTCCTCCAAAATAGACATTCCCTCAGTTAAGTATCAGACAGCTATCAATCCATTTAGTCCACATTCTGTTGTTGTTAGCTGCCCTCCAGTCAACTTCTGGCGACCCTGTGGATGAGATATCTCCATGTCTCCCTGTCCTCTACTGCTCTGCTCATTTCCTGCAGACTCATGCCCATGTCCTCCCCAACTGAGTCTACATTCTACCCTACCATAATTTTTATATGCCCACCCTTAGAACTTTTTGCAGTGTTCCTTTCCTTTATTTGGACAGCAGGTAAAGTGATGGCAATATGCACTAGTTTTGAGAAACTACAAACAGTTCTGATCAATGCTGTTTTAATCATTCACAGTTGGTTCTTGCTATCCTTCCATGAATACTGATAGGCAGATACAGAGTTACACTTATAAATCAACACCCACATGGGACACGTGCAGCAAATGATAAATTTTGCCTTACTCTCCAAGTTTCATCACCCTAGTCTCAGAAAGAAAATAGTTTAATCATTAAGACGGAGGTACTTGTCATAGGAAACCCAAACCAGGGAATGGAGTTATGTCAGCCAGTTCTGGATGGGGTCACACTTCCCCTGAAGGACTCTGTCCGCAGCTTGGGGGTGCTCCTTGACTTGTTGCTTCACTTGACAGCTCAGGTGGATGCGACAGTCAGGAGTTCCTGTTATCAGCTTTGGCTGTTCACCAGCTGCGCCCCTTCCTGGAGCAGGGAGACCTTGAAACAGTAGTACATGCACTGGTAACCTCTCGATTAGACTTCTGCAATGCACTCTACATGGGGCTACCCTTGGGCCAAGTTTGGAAACTTCAGCTTGTACAAAATATGGCAGCCAGGTTGATTACGGGTACTTCTCGTAATGACCATATAACACCAGTCCTGAAGTCCCTTCATTGGCTGCCAATTAGTTTCTGCGCAAGGTACAAGGTGTTGGTTATTACCTTTAAAGCCCTACATGACTAGGGATCAGAATACTTAAAGGAGCGCCTTCTTCCGTATTGTCCGTCCCACACACTAAGGTCCTCAGGGAAGAATCTTCTACAGCCAAGAAAATCTAGGCTTACCTCAGTCATCCAGAGGGCCTTTTCCACTGCTGCTCCAAAGCTGTGGAATGACCTGCCGGAGGAGATCCGTCACATCTCCACTCTTACAGCCTTCAAAAAGGCTCTTAAGATGGATCTCTTCTGGCTGGCCTTCCCTGCTTAGCTCCTCTCCCTGCACAAGGTGATCTTCATTGCTCTGCCTAACAATTATCTCCCTTTTTAAACTTTTGTATTTTTGTTTTTAAATATGTTTGTTTAATTGTAATTTAAGCATTGGGTGGGTGGGTGGGTGGGTGGGTTGGGAAGGGATTTTTTAATTCTATTGTATTCTATGTATTTT